GTCCATGTCCACTATTCTTGTCTGAAAGGCCAACCCCCACCCTCAACTGAGATGCAAAAACAACCCCAAGTCAAGTATGCTGGCACAGACCTGTAATCCCAAACTTGGGAGGCCAAGACAAGAAGATGCTGAGTTCAAGGCCAGTTTGAGTATGTGAGACCCTGTCTCAACAAACAAGCACACAGAACCCTAGAGATGTGAAGTCATCATCTCTATCTAGGTCACACAGGTTGCTAAATGCAGACCAGATGCAAGGCCAGCTCAGCATGATTTCAGCAAACAGCTCTCTTGCCTAGCATTGCTGTGGCATTATGGCTATATTACAGTTTGATGTGGAGGCAAAGCACACTCCAAGCACAAGTGACAGGGGCTTTGTGGGCCTGAAGGTCAACTTAGTGGCCTGCTGAGACACTGGTCTGGGATCACAGGAGAGGGGGAACCATGTGCTGCTGAGTGCACAACTGGGTGCATTGCACACCCGTACTCATTCATTCCATCACTCATTCATTCACTCATTCATCCATTCACTCACTTATTCATTCATTCACTCATTGATACTCTCATTTATTCATTCATTCATACACTAATTCATTCATCCACTCACTTGTTCATTCATTTACTTGTCCATCCTGTCATACAGTCATTCATTCATTCACTCACTTATTCATTCATTCACTCATCCACTCATTGGTATACATTTATTCACTCACCCATACACTCATTCACTAATCCACTCATTCACTCATTCATTATCTTCTTCTGACCATCCCTGGGAGAGTTTCCAGCTGGTTGAGGAAGCTTACCACACAACAGGCAACTAGTTGTATCCCATAAATTGGTGGGGAGAAGGAAGGAGAAAGAAAAGATGATGTGGAAATCCTTGGAGATGAGGGGAGCAGATTGCTGACGGGTGAATAGCAGACACAACACAGCTTGAGGGAGGAGGTTAGGGTCTGAGGGGATGGGAGTGAGATCCTGTGGTGGAGGGCAGATGGACAAAGCTAAGCACTGGGTGGGACTGGGAAAACCCACCAGGTGGGCGGCAGGGCAAGAACAGGCTTCAAGGTCTAAGCTGGTTGTTAGTGTGCTTGGCTTAGCTGCTGGGGAATCTATCCAGAGTGGGGTGGTGCTAGGGTATTGTGCTCTCTAAAGGCATTGGGTTGCCCTTAGGGGCACTGCTTCCTGGGGTGGGGGCCATCAGAACCTGGCTCAGTTTAGAAGCAGCCTGCTGCTCTGCAGCGGATGGGAGGGCTTATGAGGGCAGAGCATCCTTCCCCCAACCCCAGGAAACCGGGATATGAGTCCTGGGAGTCACACTCTCTCTGCACTTCCCTGAGGAAGAGTCAGAGCCGCTGGGCATGCTCACACTCCAGTGGATGTCCCCAGGTAAGAGCGTCTGGCTCAAGTAGCTCAGACAGCACTCAGGGAAGAGGGTGGGAACACACACTGCAGCCCCAGTGGTCCCAGTGACCCCAGACCTAGGGGAGCTCTTCTCCATGCTCTTCTGGGGGACCGTGCTTTGTGGATTTTGAGAGTTGGGTCTCAGATGGGCCTGGAGGCCTCCTTCCCAGGATTGATGTTCCCTAGCTCTGTCTTCTCTTGCACATGTCTCTGTTGCTACTAAAGTTGTTAGGGTCAGAAGCTGGCCCCTGACACTCCCACTAAGTTAGGCTCAGCTACCTGTCCCTAGTAGGCCAGTTAAAGAGAAGTGATAGTGAAAAGTAGAGAAAGGAGACTTATTCAATGTGGCCTCATCAGGAAAAGGAACAAATAAAAAGGCTCAGTGACCCCAAGTCCATCTTGGATCCTGATGTGAAGGTTGGGTTTCAATAGAGGGCAAGAGGCATGTATAGCTAAGCTGCCCTGGTCAGGGCGTGGTCTCATCATCATTACTGTCTTTGCTCCAGGTTCTCCTTCAAGGTATCTGATAAGTTGTCAGAACCTGTGCAGTCTCTTTCTAGGAGACAAGCTCCCCTTCTGGCTGGCACCGGGCCCCCAGCCTTTCCCCTCAGTCCTTACCCCATGAGATTCCTGGGGAAATTTTAACTCTTTGTAGGGGTCATTGTTTCAATAGTCTGATAAAGGGGGCACAATTATCTCTTTAGTATATCTTCTCTCCTGCCAGGGTGATGACATCCCTTTTCACTGTGGGTCCTAATCTTCATCCACACAGTCTCTGGAGCCATGGCCTCCATCTGGGTCAGGGCTTAGAAGAGGATAATAGCTGTGCGCAAGGTACTGGCTAGTTACTTTTAAAATAAACCCTTGAGAGGTGGTGTCTTCCAGGAAGAAACCTATGACTTAGAGAGGTTCAGTAACTATCCCAGGGTCCCCTAAGTCACTGGGAAGTGGACTAGTCTGTTCTGTCTCTGGGGTGGTGGAGGTATTTATCTTAAACTCAGCATCATGCTGAGATACAGATATCAGGAGCTGAGTGAGGGGTGACCTGTTCAGTCAACAACTATAATGAGGGAGGAGAAAAAATGAACAAGTCCAAAAAATGTTGCAGGAAGAGAGAAGTGTCCTTCTGCACAGTCACTCCTCAAGGCAGGGCCCTTTAAAAAGTGCCTGCTTTCCCACGTTGGCTGAAGGCTGCTCCTGTGGCTTTATCAGTGTCACAGATAAAAGCCAGGAAACCCTGAGAAGCTTGGGGAGCTGGGAGCTGCAGTAGGCCCTGGTCAGGGCACCATGCAGGGGATTGGTCAAGCCACTCCTTCCCAGGGCTCTGGGCAGGAAGACAGACCGACAGGATACACTAAGCTGGCCTGAGGGCCATATCTTCCGGGGAGGAATGTGGAGTGTGGAGTGATTTTAGCCTGTTTCTACCTTTCCCCCTGTGTCTGCATATTTTACATTGAACATTTTATTTGTTATTTATTTACTTAAGCCACCTCCTTCCCAGCCCTGAACATATATTATTTTAGTTGTCAAGAAAAATAAGTTTTTATTAAATATTTTATTTATTATTTTTATTTTATGTGTATGAGTGTATTGCCTGCATGTATGTGAGTGCACCCGTGTCATGCAATGCCGCAGAGATCAGAAGAGGGCTTTGGATTCCCCTGGAACTGGAGTTAAGGACGATTCGTAGCCTCCATGTGGGTGCTGAGAATCAACCCCAGTCCTCTGCAAGAGCAGTCAGTGCTCTTAGCCGCTGAGCCATCTCTCCAGCCCCAAGTTTATTTTTGGTTCTTTTTCTCAGGAGGCTTGTGAGTTTGAGGCCAGTTTAGACTGTGAAGTGAGAGTCTGTCTCAACAAACAACAAAATAAGAGGATAGAACCTGAGTGTAAGGTCGAGGCATCTAGGCCAGAGCTGAGGAGGTGGAGGGGTGCTCTGCTTGCTGTGCACCATGATCCTGCATCTCCTTTGATGTTAGGAACCATGCCTACTGCTCCTTCAAAAGGAGGCCAACCAGGGCCAGGCACAGAAGGGCCTTGGGAAGTACCCAGCCCTGTAGAAAGGTCAGGAAGTTACTGCTGTCAGAACTTGTCTGAATCTGTAGGTGTGGACCCTGTAAATCTTCAGGTTTACTGTGAAAGGTCTCATTCAGGTTCAAGGGGAGACTAAGATAGATTATTGGGAGTATGGAGTGACAGACTGATAGACAACAGTAGGGTGGGAGCTGTGAATAGAATTCAGGTCCCAGCGCCAGAGACAGACAGCATGGCAGGGGCACTAATGAGAGGAAATCAGGGCCATGTAACAGAAGTAGGGATCTCTTATTATTTTCTGATGGGGTGGTTTCACAGCATAATCTTGAAGCCAGGCTTTCTAATTCTCAGACAGGAGGCAGGGAGGGGGGTGGGGAACAGGATATATGGTCCCCAAACCCCCTTTGATGTAAACACCACTTCCCAGGTGAGAGACCCTGGTACCTGAAAATCTGTTGTCTAGAGGCTCATCCTCTAGTGGGTGCCTATGGGTATCTGTGAGAGGGGAGGGGATACTGTGGGTTCTGTGGCCTGAGCAGCAGTCAGATTCTAACTTTACACTCTTAAATACTGTACTTGCTGTGTGTCTTCAGGAATGTCACCCTTTCTTTCTGAGTTTCAGTTCCTTGGGGGCAGTTCTGTAACTTCTAGGCTTTAATGCCTTCAGCTTTGAATCAGAGGTCATAATAACATACTTCTGTAAACCAAATGTGACAATGATTAAGTAAGCTGATGCATTAAAAAACCTTCTCAGGGCCATGCTTGGCCCCAAGGGTATTGAGAGGATTATGGCAGGCTGAACTCTTACCTGGTCCTTAACTGCATATGAAGGAAACTGGTGGGGGTTAGGAGTTCCAGTGGAGCCTGGTTTTTGTCTTCAGGCTGGTTGGGCCTGAAGATTTAAATCCAAGAGTGCTCCCAGTCCTCTGCACGGCTCATTCTGTCTCCTCCCCAGCCCACCATTCCCGAGGCTCCACCTCTTCTGCACTCTTATGACCTGCCTTTCATTTACCATTTGGGAGCCCTCCACCTTCCAAACTGGGCAGCTTAAGCAGAGGTAGCCTGGTTTCCAGTGCTTTCTCTACTCCCAATTCCCCACTCTGTCTTTTCATGGACTAGCCTGGACTGTGGGATTGACTCCCAGCTCAGCCAGCTTCAGCTGAGTAACTTTGGGCAAGTTCCTTAACCTCTCTGGGTTTGGTCTCCTCAGGGAGATAATAGCGTACTTGCCTCTGTGCTGGTCCAAAGATGGAATGAATGGACGCAGGTGGGAGAGCTTGAGAACAGGGCCTGGCCTTCAGCAAACACTAATGTTGGGTCTTGTTACACAAGCAGTTAGAATTTAATACCTGGTGTTTTCTCAAGTGTTGGTGGGAGGGAGGTGAGGGGCCGGCACTACCAGCTCTCCAGAGAGTCTTCCTGGTGCCTGGCTCAATCTGTCCATGTGCAGCTGTTCTAAGGTCAGAGGATGCCCTTTAGCTGGATGCTGGGATCCAGCCAGATGCTGGAACCTGCCCCAAGGTCTTCAGCTACTGCTGGGCCAGAAATGCAGATAGTAATTCCAGAAGGCTGGGTCTAGGACCAGAGGGGCCATCACAAGCCTTCAGACCTGTGAACCTCAAAAGCAATGGGGAAGCCTCCTGGAGGAAGGTTGAGTGACTCAGGTCACAGAGGACACACTGTTTTGGAGCTGGTTGCGCTCTGGTTCATAGGCTTCTGGGGAGGCAGTGGGGACAGAGTTGGCCCCAGCTGTGCCTGGGAGGAGGAAAAACAGAAAGGAAAAAATGAGGAGGAAGGAGAGGGAGAGGCAGCTACACTAATTAAATCACCATCATTTTGCTGGTATCATTCTGAAGTTCTTGGGACACAGCTGCCACATTCTCAGAACTACCAGACTCAGGAGCTAGCTCTGTGTCCATGTGGAGGAAGACCAGAGTGCCTTGGTGAGTGCTGGTGACTCAGTGGGGGTGAGCTCCAGGGAGGGAAATGGGGCTGGCTTTCCAGATAGGGGCAAGCCAGCATAGGCAGTCTGCAAGGCAGCCTGCAGTCCAGCTTACCTTGTTTGTTTGGGCAGCCTGTATGTTTCATGGGTTGCACTGTCCACAGCACCTTTGGATGGAGGCAGGGATGAATGGTAGACAGCCTGTGGGGGGAGTTTACACACCTGGTCCTGACATCAAAGGCTTTTGGCTAGGGGCCACTGGCAGTGGAAGAAAGAGAGCGCTGTCAGCTGTTGGCTCAGCTCCCTGGAGTCCCGACTGGAGATGCTGGTAAGGATTTAACAGGTGGTTTGGGTCTGGGCATGGAGGCAGGATGGCACCCAGGTCTGGGAGAGGCCCCCACAGAAGTGTTTGCCACAGCTTCCATGTCTCCTGTCATCCAAGGCAGAGCTGATAACTACATAAGGGCTCAGGAACTCCTTCCCATGTCCATATGTGGGCTGTACATGGGCAGGAGCTGGCCCAGTCCACCCAGGCTTTGAGTTTTCTCTGGCCTGAGTTGCTCAGACTGGAAGTCCCACTGTGGTCAGAGCCTCATCCTTCAAATTCAAGTTTACTGCATTTTGAAAAGGAGACTTCAGGATAAGCAACCTGTGCAGTTCCCCACTGAGTTTTCAGGGCCACTCCTGGGTCCGTTATGAGGTCATCCAAGGCTGTGGGAAATAGGGTACTGCAGCTTCAAGCCTCTGTTTAGCCCTCTGGAACATGGAGGATCATTGTAGCAGGTCTCTGAACATCCAGAAAAGCAGTAACCCAAGACAGGTCACAGCTCACAAGGCCATGTGCCTACATGCTTTTATTTATTTATTTATTATTTATTTATTTATTTATTTATTTATTTATTTATTTATTTATTTATTTAGATACAGGGTCTCATGTAGCCCAGGCTGGCCTTGAGCTTGCTATGTAATCAAGATGATCTTGAATTTCGATCATCCTGTCTCCATCTCTGGAGTGCTGGGATTACAACTGTGTGCCACTCTGCTCAGTTTTATGTGGTGCTGAGGATCAAATCTGCATGCTAGGCAAGCACTGTACCAGCTGAGCTATATCCCCAGCATGTGTTTCCCTCTATGCCCCTGGCTTTGTGGCAGGGAAGTTCATCTGACTTTGCCCTTGCCCACCCCTAGCTCAGAAGCCTCCCTTTCTAGCTTCTAAGTAATTCTCTGGATCCCCAAAGCTTGCAGAAGTTCACTCACAGTTGCTTTACTACCTGCTAAGTTATTAAGATGTGAACAGCCATCACTGTGCTTAGGCCTCTCAAGGTGTTGTTGGAGAAGCGAGATGAATGCAGGCACTAAGGGAAAGTAAAAACAAACAGGAGAGAATGGAAGTAGGGCAGGGGACAGTCAGGGGTGAGGTGGCAGGGAAGCCCAGCACAGTCGGGAACATGCAGTCTGTGGACTCAGTCACTGATTGTTTTTTGTTTGTTTCTTTGAAACAGACTCTCACTATGTAGATCAGGCTGGCCTTGAACTCACAGAAATCTGCCTGCCTCTGCCTCCTGAGTGCTGGGATTAAAGGTATGTGCCACTACACCTGGCATAGCTATATGTTATTTACAAGTGATTCCCCCTCTCAGCTCTCAGTTTCCCCACCTTTAGGTCGAGGACGTTAGAGTTAGACGCTCCTTTGATTGGTCTGAGATTCTGAAATGTCTTCATTTCCCATTGCATTATGACATATGACCAGGCAGACACTCTCTGGCTTCAAGAATACAAATGTATCATTCTGCTCCTCTGAAGGCTGCAAGGTTGCATGGGGAAATCTGATCCTCTCTTCTTCTAGATATTGGGAACCACACTATGCTGTTGCTGTACCACTCTTTTCTCTGACTTTGATACTCCTTGTAACAACCTCCTGTTGACACTGGGCCACCTAATAACCCAAGACCAGCTTCCCATCTTGAGGCATTAAATCCTGTGAGAAAAATCCCCATAGATACCAAGGTAACACATTCTTGGGATTCCCAGGCTAGTGCTGGACAGTGCATCAGACCTAGTGCCCTGCCTACCACTGAGTCTCACAAGGAGGCACAGTGAGGCTGTGAGCACTGGCCCCTGTAAGTTAGAACAGTGTCCTGCAGAAATCTCCATCATGACTTCCATAGGGTATCATTTGAATAATGGAGATCAAAGATGAGTGACCAGGGCCAAGGTGCTGTGAACTGGAATGTGAAGACCCTGGCTAGACACTCATGGCTTTGGAAAGCTGCTCTGCTCCTGGGTATCCAGGGTTCACAGCCCTTTCTAGGAGTTCCAGGGCTGCACAGTGGCCAGGAAGGTATGTGTCATCATGTGCACAGGGGAGCTGGGTGCTGAATCATGTTGTTGTGGTATTGATGAAGTGATGGGAGGGTCTGTTTTCTCTGGAGGGGAGAGAATCTGGAGAGACTCCCACAGTGGAAGGTCCAAGGGCTGAGGCCTGAGTGGGAAGGAGACAGCGTGCCCAAGGGGAGGGAGACAGTCAGAAGTAGCTTGGGCCAGGTAGGAGCCTGTTGACACCGGCCTCTGGATTTGATCTGTTAGAATGCATATTTGCTAAGGCAAAAGTCAGGGACTTTGAGAAATCAGATCAAGATCAAGGCTGGGGGTGATAGGTCAGAGAGAAGCTGGGGTAGTTGCTATCATCCTTACTGATAATCCCTGAGATGGGCACCCCACATCCCTCCTCAGCTCTCAGACTCCCAAAGACTGGGGGCACCCTTGCTTCTTTCCAGAAAAGGGGGGGCACTCAGGGCTAGGAGAGGCCAGATGTAGAGGAGCAAATCAGGGGATCCACCAACGCCTACACAGAGCCATCTTCCTGAAGCTGGTAAGGAGATGAGTCAGGTCCTAGAGAGAGCTGCTTGGCCTGAACTCCTGGGGTGGAGACAGTGTGTGTGTGTGTGTGTGTGTGTGTGTGTGTGTGTGTGTGTGTATGTGTGTGTGACTTCCCCAACATTTGGTCCCCATGTTATTTGATAGGAGCCCAACAGTGGGGCAAAGGCTGAGAGAGGATGCTCTCCAGGGTTCCTTGGGAGGGGTGCTGCTCCCAGCCTCCAGCCTAGCTCTTATCAGACCACCTCATGGATGTTCAAAGGGTCCCATGTAGGTTTCCTGTGCCAATAGTTCTTCCAAAGTTATTCCTTTAAAATGTTTTATCATTTTTATTTTATGTGTATGAGTGTTATGCCTGCATGTAGGTAAGTGCACTTGTGTTATGCAATGCCTACGGAGGACAGAGAGGCTGTTGGATCCCCTGGAACTGGAGTTATGGACAGTTGTTAGCTGCCATGTGGGTGCTGGAATTTGAACCCAGGTCTTCTGCAAGAACAGTGTTCTTAACTGCTGAGCCATATCTCTAGCCCCCAAAATTATTCTTAAAAAAAGATAATACTTCTACCAGAAAGAACTAGAGAAAACATTTGCAATATACATGAAAGATAAAAAATGTGCACCATATAAGACTTCTTATAAAGCTGGTGCATGTCAGTAATCCCAGTACTTGGAGGCTGAAGCAGGAGGAGACACTGTCTCCCCCACCCCAACCTCTCATAAAATGATATTCTTACCTATTAAAAGCATTCACAGGAAAAATGCAAACTGGCTTTGAGCATATTGAAAAGTTCATTTTCACTACTATGAAAAAACAGGAATTAAAACACAGAGGTTCGGGTAGAGTTGATTTCCATTTTGCAGTTTATAATGCATTATCACTACCAGCCCACAGACCCTTCAGTTGCTGGACTACATTTCCCTTTTTGTCTCCTTCCCGTCTCCTCCCCAAAGTCCCTCCCCTACTGGTGAGTACTGTGGTATTGGATATAAAGCCCCCTGTGCCCTCAGGTTCTAGCAGTTAGTCCTACATGCTTGACCAGAAAACAGTCCTCTTCTACAAAGCTCTGACCTGACATGCAACATCTAGAAGGGCACACATGGAGAGGGAGGGAGGAAAGGGATAACTCCCGCCCCAGCCAGCCAGGTAGGTCAAATCAATCCTGGTGGTCAGTGGGGTGACAATGTTGCAACCAGTTCACCCTCACATCCCTTCCTTTCCCTCTCACCCCCTCTCTCTTCTCTGCATAGAATTGAGGACAACTTTAAATTCATTTCAGACTTGAGTCCTTGCTCCTTGTTCATGCTTCATGACAGGTCTGAGTAAAGATGCTTTAGATAAGTCCTCAAAAGCATGGGCCAAATAAAAGTAAAATTAGATTAATGGGATTATATCAAACAATGCAGTAGAGAGCCTGGTTAAAAGTGGTGAGAAATTCTGCAGCATGGAAAAATATTTGCCTAATAATATTTGTCTGATAAGGAATTAATATCAGACATACAAGAAACTTAAGCCATCACACGTGAAACTCCTGAACAATCTGATTTTAAAAGGAGCAAGTGAATAAATTATTCATTAAAAATTAATTAATTAATTAAAAAAAAAGAATAGACCTGGACCCAAGTCACCAAAAAAAAACAAAACAAAACAAAAAAAGGAGCAAGTGATTTGGGATCAAGATAGTACAGGCTACAGTCTTAGCATTTGGGAGGAGGAGGAAGGAGGATCAGGAGTTCAAGGTTATCCATGCCTACACAGCGAGTTCAAAACTTAACCAAACCGAAGCAAACAGAACAGAGAAAAACAAACAAAAACAAGAACAGATGATCTGCAAAGGTATTTCTCAAAAGAAGACATGCAACAGGATGCTCCAACCATATCCCACAAAAGTTCACATCACTAACCTTCAGGGAAATGTAAATCAACCATAATGTGATGTCTCGTGCCAGTACAAAAAAATGGCTAATATCAAAGACAAAAAAGGCTGTACATGGTGGTACATGCCTTTAATCCCAGCACTCAGGAGGCAGAGGCAGGTGAATCTCTGTGACTTTGAGGCCAGTTTGGTCTATGTAGTTCCAGGCCAGCCAGGGCCACATAGTAAAACCCTGTATCAAAACAAAAAAGGCAAAAAGCAAGGAAGCAAATGCAGGCAGATTCTAACTAGTTGAATGCAAATCAGGTCCAAGTTCCAGGCCAGCCAGTGCTACATCCCTGAGACCTGGTCTCAAAACAACTATAATAAAAATGGATAAAAAATAACAAATGGGGGCTGGCGAGATGGCTCAATGGTTAAGAGCACTAGCTGCTCTTGCAGAGGAACCAGGTTCAGTTCCCAGCCCCCACATGGCAGCTAACAATCATCCAAAACTCCAGTTCCAGGGGATCCGATGCCCTCTTCTGACCTCTGTGGCCATTGCATGACACAGATGCACTTAAATACGTGGAGGCAAATACACTCATACACATAAAATAAAATAGTAGTAATATATAAAAACTTTTAATATAACAAACATTGGCAGGGATGCAGAGAAAGGGAAGTGCTGGAAGGCATATAAATTCATGCAGCCACCATGCACTTGAGCTTAGCCACAAACCTGAGAAGGGATGCCCACCCACCACAGCAAGCATTCTGGAAATTCCCTTAGTGTGGGCATTTGCTACACTCCTGGTTATGTGTACTAGAAACTTCTAGGCTGGATATATGCCACCTCACCGGCTGTGGAAATCCAGTAGGTAACAATGGCAGCCTGTGACCAGATGCCGACCACCTGTGTCCACATGCTGGTGATCCCAAGTCCATAATTAAAAATCTCTGGAGAGACTAAAGCCCTGGTATAGAGGAGGTTTCATTAACCTGCCCCACAAGAAATATGTGAGGTGTACCTTGTACTGTACCCCAGCTTGTCCTGTGTGAGCTGAGGAGAATCACCTCTGGGAAAAGTAACAACGTCAGGGAGGAGAGGTTTGTTTTGGCTCAAAGTTTGAGAGGATGCAATCCTGCAAGGCAAGGAAGGCATGTGAAGCAGCTGGTCATATTGCAACACAGTCAGGAGAGAGAGAGGGAGAGAGAGAGAGAGAGAGAGAGAGAGAGAGAGAGAGAGAGAGAGAGAGGGAGAGGCTGATGATCAGACTGAATAAGTCTGGAGTTCCAACCCATGGCATAGTGCCACCAATATTCAGGGTAGGTCTTCCCACCTCAGTTAAACCTCTCTGGAAATACTGGAACACACCTAGAGGTGTGTGTGTGTCTCCTAGGTGACTCCAACTTCAGTAACGTTGACAATGAGATGAACAATCACAGTGACTACATTAGCTTACATGTCTACCATACGTTTATAAAGATTCCTCTTTACATCCTCACCAGCATTTGATATTACTTTTTTCTTTCTTTTTAAAAAAATTTAATGTGTATAAATGTATGCATGTACCATGTAGGTGCAGTGCCTGTGGAGGCCAGAAGTTGAATCACCTAAAACTGGAGTTACAGATGGTGGTGAATCATCATGTGGGTGCTTGGAATTGAACCTGGGTCCTCTGCAAGAGCAACAAGCACTCTTAATCCCTGAGCCATTTCTCTAGCTCATCATTTGTTTTCCTGATGATAATTATTCTGACTGGGGTGAGATGGAATCTCAATACAGTTTTAATTTGATTTCTTTGATGGCTAAGGATGTTGAACATTTTTTTCAGCATTGGCCATTTGTATTTCTTCTTTTGAGAACTGTCTGTGTGGTTCATTTAACCATTTATTTCTTGGATAATTTGTGTGTGTGTGTGTCTGTGTGTGTGTGTTTAATTTTTGGAGTTCATTGTATATTCCAGATATTAATGCCTGATCAAATTTCTATTTGGCAAAGATTTTCTTCATTTTTGTGGTCTCTTTACTCTGTTGATTGTTTCCTTTGCTGTACAGAAGCTTTTAATTTCATGCAACCCCATTTGCTGTTTTATGGGCCCACTTGAGTCTTGGCATTTTTTTCATCAAGTCCTTGCTTATGGCTGTGTTTTGATATAGCTCCCAAATGTTTTCCTCTAGCAATTTAAGAATTTCAGGTCTTGTATTAATGTCCTTGATCTGCTTTCAGCTTATTTTTGACAGGTAAGAAGGTAGAGATCCAGTTCCATTCTTCTGTATATAGATATCCACTCTTTCCACACTATTTATGAAATAGGCCTGGAACTCACTATGTAGACCAGGCTGGCCTCAAACTCACAGAGCTCCACCTGCCTCTGTCTCCCAAGTGCTGGGATTAAAGGCGTGCGCCACCATGCCCAGCTTCAACTGCTGTGATTTTGAGGTCTGTTGATCCTTCAAACAAAGTGAGTTTGGAGAGGGGCAGGGCATGCTAGATCTCCCTGTTTAGTATTATTGTTGTTGTTGTTGTTGGTGGTGGTGGTGGTGGTGGTGTGTGTATGTGTGTGTGTGTGTGTGTGTGTGTGTGTGTGTGTTTGTGTGTGTGTGTTCCTGTATGTGAGCATTGGAACATGCATATGAATGGAGGTCAGAGGACAACCTCAGGCCTCAGACCTCCCCTTCCACCCTGTCTGAGACAAGGTCTCTTGTTGCTTGCCATTGTGTGCACCAGTACTACTGCTGGGAGCTTCTGGAGATGCTCCTGTCTCTGCCTCCCATCTCTCAGGAGGACTGCTGGGATTACAGATGTGTGCTACTGCACCTGGCTTTATGTGGATTCTGGGAATCTGAACTCAGGACTTAATGCTTGCACAGCAAGTACTTTACCCATTGAGCCATCGCCCCAGGCCCCTCACTGTCTTTTATTTTTTTCCTCTGCAGAACTTCAGACATGTCCAGCACTGCTTCCCCACTGGCACTCAACACCAGCACCACCCATAGTGCCACTTCTGAGAACAGTAGCTCCTTCTATGACTATGACTATTTGGATGATGTGACCTTCTTGCTCTGCAGGAAGGATGAGGTCATGTCCTTTGGGCAGGTCTTCCTGCCGGTCATCTACAGCCTGATCTTTGTGCTGGGCTTGGGCGGGAACCTCCTTCTTCTTGTGGTGTTGCTCCGCTGTGTGCTTCGAAGACGGATGACTGAGGTCTACCTGCTGAACTTGGCCATCTCCAACCTCCTGTTTGTGGTGACAATGCCCTTCTGGGCAGTCTCTGTGGCCTGGCATTGGGTATTTGGCAGTTTCTTGTGCAAAGTGGTGAGCACCCTCTATACCATTAACTTTTACAGTGGCATTTTCTTCATCAGCTGCATGAACCTGGATAAGTACCTGGAGATTGTCCATGCTCAGTCCTTCCACCGGCTGCGGACCCGCTCCAGGAGCCTGCTCCTCACTGCCCTAGTATGGGTCACGGCCCTGGCCATCTCCATCCCAGACATGGTCTTTGTACAGGTCCATGAGAGCCCCAGGGGTATGTGGCACTGCTACGCAGATTTTGGTGGGCATGGGACCGTTTGGAAGCTCTATCTGCGTTTCCAGCAGAACCTTCTGGGGTTTCTCTTCCCACTCCTGGCCATGATCTTCTTCTACTCCCGCATTGGTTGTATCCTGGTCAGGCTAAGGCCACCCGGCCAGGGTCGGGCTCTAAGGATAGCTGCAGCCCTGGTGGTGGCTTTTTTCCTTCTGTGGTTCCCATACAGCCTCACTTTGTTTCTGCACTCCCTGCTGGACCTGCAGGTCTTTGGAAACTGTAAGATCAGTCAGAGTCTGGACTATACCCTGCAGGTGACAGAGAGCCTGGCCTTCTTCCACTGCTGCTGCACCCCCATCCTCTATGCCTTCTCCAGCCGCCGGTTCCGCCAGTATCTGAAAGTTTTCCTGGCCGCTGTGCTAGGACAGCACCAGGCTCCTGGCACAGCCCAGGCCCCGGCATCCAGCTACTCAGAGAGCAGCAGGTTTACTGCCCAAGAAGAAATGGCCAGCATGAACGACCTTGGGGAAAGACAGGCTGATGGCTCCCTTAACAAGGGGGACATGGAGAATAGTTAAGCCCACGTGTCCGTGCCACGGTCTGTGGAGGGCACTGACTGCCCTGCTTGGTTGGAAGCACTAGCCAGCATGGCTGTGCTGCTCAGTCCAGTGACTCTCCACCAGAAGCGCCCTTGGGTTCACTCCTGCCTCTTGCTCCGTTTGCTCCCCAGGCCCCATGCTCTTGCCTGAATTGCTGCAACATTCTCGGCTGACCTCTGCATGTCTGTCCCCTCGTGCTTCTGTGGCTCCTGGGCACCAAGCAGCCAGAGTGACCAGGCCACACGCTCAGCCTTCAGACTTTCTGGGGCCCTGTGATCTGCTCCCAGCCTGTGACCTCATCTTTACTACACTGCTTTCTGTTCTCTTGGCTCAGGGTACACTGGCCTCTACTTGCATTTCTGGAACATTCCAGGCTTATCTGTCTATGGGGATTTCAGCTGTGCACTCTTCCTGGACTGTCCTCATGAAGAGTTTGGCTCACTCTCACCACCTGGGGTCTGGGTGGGGTGCTCCATGCCCACCCTATTTAACGCCCTATCTGCCCACCTGCTGCTCCTACTCTTCCTCTCTGTGCTTACTACTTTCATACAGCCTCTGTATTTCTCCTGTTTCTTATGTTTGTTGGCTACTGCTCCCCAAGCCAATCTCCCAGGTGAGTGGGGCTCTTGGTGTGTGGCTTGCTGCCCTATTCAAGTGGCTGACAAGGAACCTTGTATGTGGAAGGCTTTTAGATAGTGTCTGCAGAATGTGTGGGTGGAGGGGGAGTTCTTCCTTGTGTCATCTCTGGGAAGAAGATGGCCCTCCACCCACCAAGGTGCCCCTTTCCCTCTTGGGGGATGTACTTTCCTGTCTTCACAGCAGCCCCAGGGCCTGCAATTCCAAAGCACTAGAGATGTTTCAGTCATAGAACAGCCCAGAAAGTGCAGACTGGGCAGGAGGGAGGCAGAGAACACCCTGGGCTTGGGCCCCTTCTCAAGAGCCTTCATTTCTCCCTGGGGTCTGTATAGTCAAGTCCAAAGCTCTGTCTGAACTTGCTGGAACACATGCTGGTGAGTAGACAGCTTCCTCAGACTGTGCTGGGAAAACTGGATTTAATCTTCCACATGTGGAAGATTGAATCAGATCCCTATCTCTCATCCTGTACAAAAATCAGCTAAGGATCCAAGTGCAACTAATTATGACTAGTAATAATCAGATACATACAAATTAGAGATGCATGTGCCAACATCTCAGTGTTAGTAGCAAAAACAATGAGTCTTTCTGCAAGGAACAATATATTCTAAAATGAAATGGAGATCTTTTTAAAAGTTAAAAACTCATTCAGTTTTATGACTTACAAGGCTTATACTGAGTTCAATATTGTATAACTGTATTAATTCAACTGTGAACCTAGCCACTTGTGAAAAAGATGTACTCTTGCTCTGGAGTATGTTACTGAATATGTTAAAGCTGTAATGAAATGCTGCTTCTAATCATGTAGTTATTAAAAAATTTTAAAAATCAGCTAAAAATGGATAAAAAATTTTAATGTAAGACCAGAAGACTTGAAGCCACCAGAGAAAATCACAGGGGACACAACAGAGAATACAGGCATAGGCAAAGGCTTTCTGGACAGAACTCCACAAGCCTGGCAAATAAAAGCAGGAGTGATAAGCAGGAGTGGATGAAATTAAAATCTCCACACATAGAAACAACCAAAATGAAGAGACAACCCACAGAACCCAGAAAATCATCTGATGGAACACATAAGGAACTCAAAAGATTGGTAAGAGAGCACATAATTCAATAAAAAATGGACAAATGGGTCCTGGAGAGATGGCTCAGCGGTTAAGAGCACTGGCTGCTCCTCCAGAGGACCTGGGTTCAGTTCCCAGCACACACATGTTGGCTATCAACCCTCTGTAACTCCAGTTCCAAGGGATCTGACACCCTCTTCTGTCCTCCTTGGGCATTGCATGTACATAGTGTACTTATATACCTACATAAATAAAATTTTAAAAATAAAATTTCAACTGGACATCTAAACAGACATTTCTCAAAAGAACAGATGCCCAAGAAATATGTTAAAAATGTTCAACATTGTTGACCACTGGGGAAATGCAAATCAAAACATCATTGAGATTCTTCATCACCCCAGTCAGAATGGCTTTTACCAGAAAAGCAGCTGTAACAGCAAGCCCCACAAACACAGATGGGATGTGGAGAAAAACAAACTCTTATAAACTCCTGTTGGAATACAAACTAGCCAGAAGCTACTGGAAGTAGATTCCTCAAAAAATGAAAAACTACCATATGATCTAGTACATAGGTACATATCCAAAGGATGAAATCAGCCTTTTCCAGAGACACTTGTGAGATCATGGTCAGCACTTGTCTTGCTAACCGGGATAGGGAATCAGCCTAGGTGTCCATCAGCAGAGGAATAAATAAGGAAAACACACTATAAAAAAATATGCCACAGACTATTACTGAGTCATGAAGACGAATGAAATCCTACCGTTGCAGGAAAATGGATGGAGATTGTAAGCAAATTGAATAAGCTGCATTCCGAAAGACTAGCATTATTTCTTTCCACTAGTATGTGGAAACTAAAACCAGAAGACAATACATCTGAAAGCAGAGAGGGAGTAACAGGGGAGTGGGCAGAGAAGGGAGAGTGGGAGTGGGTATTGGAGAGGGTGGGTTTCAACAAACATGACATATTCATGTATGGACCGGTCACAGAGAAACCCATGTGTCTGCACAGCTAGGATGAGTCCACAGTGAAAATAAAAACCTTTGCTTAGCACCAAGGCCAAGACTCAGTGTATGCATGCGTGTGTGTGTGTGTGTGTGTGTGTGTGTGTGTGTGTATGCATGCATGTGTGCATGCACATGTGTGGTGCCCTTGTTTAGGTGTGTGTGAAAGTATGTATGCATATGTATGTGCATGCATGTAGAGCTCAGAGGACAACCTCACATGTCATTTCTTAGATGCCATCCACCTTGTTTTCGAGACAGGGTCTTTCCCTGGCCTGAGCTCACCAAGTTGGTCAGGCTGGCCAGTCGAAAGCCCCAGGGATCAGTCTGTCTCACCCTCCAGCACTGAGATTACATGTGCATTGCCTGGCTTTTCCACGTGGGGTCCAGGGATCAAACTCAGTCCCCATTCTTTATATGGCAGCACTTTACTGAGCCCGCTCTCTCCTCCACCAAAGGTCAGGCATTTTACAAGCAGCAGCCAGACATCCTCACACCCTCCGACTCCTCCAGCACTCCTGCTGCTCTCTGCAAACCCCCACCTTTCAGTTCTGCATGGCTGCTCCCGCTGGGATAAAGCTCGCTTCCAGCCACTTGCCTAGTGCTTTCGCCTTGTAACCTGAACACTTACTCTAGGGAAGTGTGCCTTGTGCACCCTGCCCTGTGCTGCGGGAGGTTGGGTAGAAAAGTGTCTTAGGTTGTCATTGTTTGGATCAGTGCTGCCCCCACCCCGCGCCGCCCCCCCCCTCCCGCACAGGCCCATGTGTTAAAGGCTTGGTCTCAGGGTGTTGCTATTGGAAGGTGGTGGAAATTCTAGAAGGTGGGGCCTTATAGGAGGCCCTGAGGTCACTGGGGTGTGGCTTTGAAAGGAAAAATGAGAGTTCAGCCATTCCTATTTCCACTTTTTGCCTTGTGGCTCATGAGGTGAGCAATGTGCTCTACCACACGCTCTCTGCCACTGACACCTGGCATGCTCACCAGCATCCCAAAGGAATTGGTTTGCCTGATCTTGAACTGCTACCTCCCAAACTATGAGCTCAAACAAACCTTCTCTCTTTAACCATTAATGATCTCAGGTAATTTGTTGTAGTAACATGAAGCTGACTGATGCATAGACCAATTACAGCTTTTTGTTACTGAAGCTGAGAGGGTGCGAGATCTAGCACTGTTCCTCTCTCATTCAGAAAGTGAAATGGGTAGTCTGGTGAGTGGGCAGATCTTGGGGCAATGTTTGAGCCTCAGAAGTAAGGCACAGTTGATGCTCTTCCCAGTGCCCCAATGCTGAATTTGACTGTTACACAAACCAACAAATTCCTTTCCAGTGTGGACTCATGTTGGCTTGTTGCTTCCAACCTTAAGATTCCTGGCTGGGGGTGGGGGTGGGGGGTGAGGGGGGTTAGAGCGGTGACTCAGTAGTTAAGAGTATTGTCTGCTCTTGCAGAGGACCCAGGTTTGGTTCCCAGCATTCACTTCAAGATGAATGCTCGTGCTCAGCTGGCTTTCTCCTTTGTATTCAATCCTACTTCTGCCCATGGAATGATGCAGGTCTTCCCACCTCAATTGATCTAATCTAGAAACTTCTTCATGCATGCCTGAAAGGTTTGTTCCTAGATGCTTCTAGAGCCTGTCTAGTTGACAGTCAATATTTATTATGTCTTTTTTTCTCTTTCCCTCCTGCCCTCATTCCTTCTCTTCTTCTCATCCTTCCCTCTTTCCTCCCTCCCTTTATTTTCTTTCTCTCTTGTGCTTTCTCTTTGTACTTTGCTGAATAAGTGGCTGGTGAAGAGAGAGTTGATTGGAAGGTCAGTGTTCCGCCCATTCTTTTTCTCCCTGAGTTCTGGATGTTCTCATAATCACACACACACACACACACACACACACACACACACACACACACACACATGAGCCTGGTTATCCTGATGTTATCTTTGGTGCTTTTTCACCCTGCTTTCCTTACCCCTACCCCTCCTGGCTCTGGTGCCTCTAGGTCTCAGTGCTCAAGGCAGCAGATTCTCAAGGTCAGGAAAGGACTCTGGGTTTCCTCAGCTCCCTCATCTGCAGGTGGTGATTTGTCTGAGAACACCAGGAAGTGAGTGGCAATTTTAAAGCTCCTGAAATCTTGTCCCAGAAGGGATTATGTCCTGTTCATATACCAGACAGATTGATGGAATGCAGCTTGAGCTGTGGCAATAAGGCTGGGGTCTCCGGAGTCCCCAACTTTGTGTCCATGACACACACATGGGATGGGACATGGCACGGCATGGAGACTGGATGGCTGGTCATGAGAATTGGTAGTATGTGTGGGCCTTTCTGTCTGGGACATCTGTGTCCACATGTTCCTACTGTCCTTGACCAGACTGTATTGTGTGAGCTGTGTATGGTATATGCAGCTGTTACTTGGATCTACTGTGAGTGTGTTCAGATGGATTTGATACACGCCCGGGTTTTTCTATCTGTGTGTGTGTGTGTGTGTGTGTGTGTGTGTGTGTGTGTGTGTGTATCTGCTCTCTGGGAAAAACAGATGCATAATAAGCAGTGTCCTGAAGGAGAAGGGCTGGCTGTAGATACCTCTTGCTCACAGTTACAGGCGCCCTATACAGCAGCCTACAAGTTCTCACAGCCAGGTCAAGGTAGAGCCTCTCCACCCCAACCCTACTTCTGGTCTTGAATATTGCCTCTCTTCCTCTTCCTGCTGTCTTTCCAATGCCTGCCAAACCTGGCTTCTGGATGGCACCAACCTAGCCTTTGCCAGTGGGAAAGCCCTTGAATGCCCCTGACCTTGAGGCTCTGAAGCTAGGTGAACTCTTCTGGAAGCTGGCCCAGGGAGAGGTGCACGATTGACTTTGCCTGTCACCAGACTGTTGCTCCCTTAGCTTTGCACAGTGGGCCCCAAGTGTTCCCAGCAGTGGCTCTGCATGGAAAAATACCTGTTTTCTTTCCCAGGTACCTGAAACGCCACCATAGGATAGCCATTTTATTTTCTGTTATTCTGTTTTTGTGAATTCTTTCTGTGTGTGATAGAGTCTTGCTATGTAGCCCAAGGCTGCCTTTGAACATCAATCTTCCTGCCTCAGCCTCCTGAGTACTGGGTTTTGGGCCTATGCCTTCACACCCAGGTGGACAGACATTTCTGATCTTGTTTTACCATAAGCTCTCTCTGGAGCGACTATATTTGCCAGTCTTTTTTTTTTTTAAGTCCTGGCAAAGAAAGGGGTGTGAGGTATAGAAATGAGGAATGGGAAGCAGCACTGCCCTGAGGACTATCTCCAGCAGTCCTCATGGAGGGCTCCCAGGACCTCAAGCACCACAGGTCTAGCCTTGCCAGCAGGTGGGCACCAGGATCTCCCTGTATAGTACTGGGGTGTGCACCGTTCCTAGGAGACCTACTGTTGAGGGCCTCCCAGTGCATGGACGGAAGCACCTGTGCTCACCTCAGACCTGACAGCTGATTGCCTGGGTCCCTCACATAGCCTTCTAAGCTCTCAAGCAGGCCATAAGCTTCACAAGGGCCTGGAGAGTTTCCAGAAGAGCTACTTAGTTGCTCCTAGTCCACTGCTTCTGGTCCAAACTCAGTGGACTTGGTTGGGCTCTCAGTGGTGCTCGGTCTATTCACAGGCCAGGATCCTGTCCCATGTGCCCTTAGGTGTATGGAAAGGGAAAGGACTCAGCACTGAGGGCTTGGGAAGGACATAGACGATTCCTTACTCCCCATTGAATCTGGCCCAAGGGCTGGTTGCAAGGGGGAAACTGTTGGTAAGCTCTCACATGATGGCTCCCTGCTTCTCAGCACGCATCCTCCTCCCATATCCTTGCCCTTCTCCTCTCCTTGTGTTCCTGGCCTTGTAGAGGTAGAGATGATAGTGCTCCTAGCCAGGAGCTCTATCAGACTTCAGGTAGACACTGTCATCTGAGAAAGGCAGGCCTTGGTTCAGGGTTACACAGCTAGTTGGAGATAGGTTCCTGCCTCTAGCTGGGGTCTACTGTCCCAACTATGCTCAGGGCAGAACAGGAAGTCTGAGGGACGTAGAGGAGCATGGAAGAGAGAGGGCACACTGACTGGGCATTGTGGTGGTGGTGGGGTGGTCTGTGCTGCCTGGGTCCACCTTCTCTAGGGCCTTCTATCCCAATCCCAGGCAGGACCCTGCACACGCTAGCCACAGCTCTGAAATCAAAACCTACCCTCACCTCCCCAGCCACTAAGTATGTACCTCCTGAATTCCCTTTGGGTCTCCTGAGTGATCAGACAAACCATATAATATATTTTATGTGAGTTTATTAACTTACAAAGGAATGAGTACCCAGTGCCTAGCTCTGCGGGCCACAACTCAGAGCCCGCCGTGCCACGCCCATAGTCACCACTAGCATTCGCTCATGCCTCCGGGGCCAGCGATCGCCCCACGTCCACAAGAATCAGTCCATTCTGTCCTTCTGAGTAGCTGGCTGCCCGACCCCACACTACCCCCAGCTCTTGGCTTCTGTCCTAAGACGGCTCCCAGCAGCCCCCTCATAGTCCATGCTCCACGTCAGGCCCCGCCCATTGGAGGAACTAGCCAATAGGGAGACAGTATGTCTGACCATGGACACATCTGTCTTTCATACTCCAGAAAACTGAGAACAGGGAGAGGCAGGAAATGCTTTGAGGACACAAAGTAAATTAGCCAAGACTGGAAATCAAGCTTCTACCATTTAATTCACATTTAGGGAATTGGGAGACAGAGAGGAATGAATACAATGCCATGCAGTCTGGGGCAGGGGTAGAAGGAGGGAATCAAGACAGTGACAGCAACAGTGCATCCCAGGTGTGCTATGAGACACAGTGTTAGGGGTACCCAGGACAGAGGCAATGTCTAGGATGGGAGGGAGGAAATCCAAGAAGGCTTCCATGAATAGTTGGTACTGGGGTTGCAGAAAAAGCAGCACCCTGCTTTAGAGATAATCCACTGGAGGAAGCTGGTGGAGTCGAAGCATATTAGTTAAGAGATTTGGCTAGCAACTCGAGGTGACAGGGAACCAGGGAGATCAAAGGGCAGCAGCCAGAGACACTTGGGGGAAAATGCCTTGGAGACTTGTGTGAACAAAGAATATGAGGCCCCGCCAGGTATGGAGATAAGGGCACAGGTTGTTATCTAAGATCGGCAGGAGAGGTGGGCAGTCGGTGGGGGCACTGCAGAAAATTAGAAGGCTTGAGTTGAAGGAACCTGACCTGCTTGTCTGAGGGAGGAGGTGAGGATGTCTGGTGCCTGTCCTGGATGATGGGTGGACAGTCCTGAACTGAGAGGCAGAGGACTCAGGAGGAGGAACTGGTTCATCAGAGGGTATGAGAGAGAACTAGTTCTGTGTGGAACAAGCTCCCTCAGAGGGACCGTGGGACTCCAATGGGGAGATAGAAGATGTGGGCATAGAGAAAACCAACTTGCAATGTTCCTGGAAACCATGGGAAGGTGTGGTCCATCCTGGGGTGAAGATGCAGAGAGGAGATGATGACACAGAGGAGACCCCTTCAATAGCTCCTGTATCAAAAACCACAGTTCTCTAGACCTGTACAGTGGCTGTTAGCCATTCCTAGTATTGAGGCCTTAGAATGTGGCTGGTCTATTTTGAAAAGCACTGCAAGGGAGTGCAGGTATCAGGTACTAGGGTTTGAAGACAGGACCAAAAATTTGCTAAAGCACTTAATGACTATATTTTATATTGGTCTCATATTAGTGTAAGCACTTCAGATATATTGAGTTAAGTAATTCATATTATAAAAATAAACAACTTTTACTTTTTCTTTAAAAATTTATTTCTTTATTTTTAGTCTATGTGTATGAATATTTTGCCTGCATGTATGTAAGTGCACCCATGGTACAAAGGCTGTGAGGCTAGAAGAGGGTGTTGCATCCATGGAACTGGGGTTACAGATGGTAGTGAGCCTCTATGTGGATGCTGGGAATCAAACCCAAGCCCTCTGGAAGAGTAGCCATTGTTTTTTAACTGATGAGCCATCTCTCCAGCCCCCTGATTTTTGATTTTCTTAACATGAGTCCCATAGGATGTGGAGTAGAGCAGGAGGGAGGGAAGGTGTTAATATCTGCAAGATGCTGCTTTATTAAGGGAGCCGGTTTCTGTACTGCAAGGCAAATCAAGCCAGGCCAGGAATCAGCTTCAGAATGAGCTGCTCAAAGAGGCTCCTCCTGAGAGGAGGGTCTGGTACAGTCTACAGGGGAGATGGCATCTTAAGGGAGCTTGATATACGTATGAGATGTCTGGATGGCCAGAGGGCAAGGACAGCCAGGACCATGTAGGGGTACCTCAGAACCAGAAATAGGAGTGGTCATTTTGGGTCTGGACTGCAGAGAGTGAGAAATCGGGGAGACCAAGAGGGAACCCTTGTGGTCAGGCCTAGGAGCTCACTGCATGGGCCTCAGGCGGTAGCGGAAACACACTTCATGACTGGGCTGTGTGATGCCAAAGCCCCAGCGCCTTGGGTCAATAGGGGGCATAGGCATATCAGGGTCCACTAGCTCCATGTCAAAGTACATGACCATAAGAAGGATAAAGATCTTCATCTCACTGATGGCAAAGAACCTGCCAGGGCAGATGGAGACTCCCGAGCCCCAAGGCATGCTGTAGTGGTGGATCTTCTTGCCTGACTTGTAAAAGTCTACTTTCCGGGTGCCATCGGGGTTGAGGAACCTGTCATACTTGAAGGTTGTGGGTTCAGGGTGGATGTCAGGGTCCATGTGCACTGAAAGATAGGGGAAGAGAGCCACATTATCTCCTCGACGGATCTGGTACTCCTGCCCACTGGCCATCTTCAGGACATAGTCCTTCTGTACCACCCTGAGGAGAGTGGGTGAAGCACCCAGCCGCAGAGTCTCCTCCAACACACTGTCCAGTACTGGGGTGCATTTCAGAGCACTAAACTTGAAGGTGAAGGACAGTTTGACATCCAGCCTGGCCTCACCCAGGACCTGGGTGGCCTCTTCCCGCACAGCCTTTATGGCTTCTGGGTGCTTTAGCAAGAATAAGAGGGCCCAGAAACAGGTTGGTCCTGTGTTCCCCTGGGAGGCCCAGAGGATCATGAAGTTAAATTTGTCCTGCATGACTGAAGCTGTGCCCTTCTCCCTCAGATACTGAAGCATGTAGCCTACCCAGTTGCTGATGCCGTCTTTCTCCAGGTTTTGCTCCACAGAGAGTCTTTGGTGAAAGACATGCTGCAATTGGCCCACTTCTACCCACTCCCGGGGTCCCAGCAGGGAGTAGACAAACCTGGGAAATAGGACATCGAACCTACGGAACTTCACGAACATCTCCTCAGCCTCTAGCAGGTCCTGCTCTTTGTTCTTGGTGTAGCCAAACAAGGTGAGGAAGCCAGCTTTGAACAAGATGCTATAGCAGAAGTGAAAGAGGCCATCTTCATGCCAGGAACCAGCATCCAGACTTGGGCCTTTGGGTCCTAGCATCACCAAGGACAGGCTGTCCAGCATGGCTGCGTTGAGATCCTCTAAGCTGTGCCCCATCAGATGCTTGGTGCTGGCTAAGTGTATCATCTGGTGGTCTCCCTCCATGGGCTGGTATCCAAAAACCTTTAGCACCAGGTTTTCTGCATACTTCACAAAGTCTAGTGCTTTCTGCGTATCCTTGATGATGGGGCTAAAGGAGAGGGGGTCCATGATAAAGGTGAAATACTGGCCCCCTAGCTGCACTGTGAACACATCTCCATGCTTGGCCCACATTTCCTTCAAGAATTCAAACATATTCTTCCGGAATGCCACAGCATGACCCAGCCAGGGCACAGAGCCTTTGTCCAGAGGTGGCTCCTGGGGCCCACGGTGTCGGAGCAGCGTCGGGAGACACAGGTATCCCACGATGATCAGGAGCAAGGCTCCTAGTGCTGGACCCCACAGTACCATGGCCAGGCTCCAGCAGGCTGAGATCTACAGCACAGGCACTCAGCTGTCTACGTGCTGGAATTGCCTTGTACAGCCTTCAGAAAAAGGGAATGTAAAGGTCTGTGGCCTTGGACTTTGCTTCATGGCTGTGAGTTGTGACAAATAACTAACTAGTGAGCTGGCACCCAGGAGAAAAATGTTACTTCATTTTAACACATGACAGAACCAGGTTAGGAAAGAGGAAGAAGGGTTGGCATAGAAGAACTGGTGAGAGTTGCACTTTGCTCTGACTTTTAAAGAATCAGACCTGGACCTTATCTGTATGCTTACCTTGAGCCTACTCCTGACCCACTACATAATGACCACTCCCTCCCTCATTCATTCATACATTAATTTAGTCACTAGTTTATTCAATAAATGTATACATCTACTTCCTCTACTTTAAAAAGTACGTATTTATTTATGTATTTATTAAGTGTGTGTTTGGGGTTATGTTCTAGTTTGCTTCTTCATTGCTGTGACAAAACACTCTGACCAATGCCAACTTGGGGAGGAAAGGGTTTATTTGTCTTATATCTCCTGGGATACAGTTCATCAGGGAGCCCAAGGTAGGAACTCAGGGCAGGAACCTGGAGGCAGGAGCTAGAGCACAGGCCATGGGGGAACACTGCATACTGGCTTGCTCCCCTGGCCCCTGCTCAGCCTGCTTTCTTTTAGAACATAGACTCACCTGCCCAGGGTGGCACCACCTACAGTGGGCTGGGCCCTCCCACATCATTCATTAATCAAGAGGATGCCCCACAGACACGGCCACAGGCCAGTCCAGTGAAAGCAATTCAATTCCCCAATTGAGGCTCCCTCAACCCAGGCCAGGTGTGTCAAGTTAACACTAAAGCTATCCAGCACAGGTTGTGTGTATGCATGCATGTGGAGGCCCAAGATCAATGTCAGGTACCTTCCTCTACCACTTCTCCATCTTATTTTTTTAAATGTTTTATTTATTATTTTTATTTTAATTGTATGGGTGTATTGCCTGCATGTGTGTAAATACACCTGTGTCTTGCAATGTGCGTGGAGGTCAGAAGAGGGCGTTAGATCCCCTGGAACTGGACATACAGATGGTTGTTAGCTGGGTGCTGGGAATCCAATCCAGGTCTTCTGCAAGAGCAGCTAGTGGTCCTAAATACTGAGGCCCAAAAGTACTTCAGACCTTAGAAAAGCTGAACAGGTTTCTGGGTACTGACTCCACCCAGGGATGTGGTATGAATGAAACCACTGAAGACGGTTCAGGTAGAGGCTCATCTGGATCTGCTTCCACCCCTCAGCCTGGCCTGTATACTCCAAGAATCCTGGAATTACAAAATGTCAGGAGCAAAAAAGACCTCAGCTTGTTATTTTGCCATAAACCCAGAGTACAGTGTGTGTGTGTGTGTGTGGTGATGGGGGGGTTCCTCTAAAGCTGCCCTGCCTTGGGGTTTACAGGTAAAGTAACCACTATTTAGGGGTCTTCCATAACGTATCGGGTCAGTTCCCTGCCAGCAGACTCAAAAGGGAAAAAGCTATTGTGGTACTGACACAAAGGCTTAGTCAAGCAGCCCCACCCATGCTGCAATAGGTGAAGTTGACACTGAACTGGGTCAATCTGATAACCCTGTCACTGCAACAATTCTCACTCCAAAGAGACTAAACGTTTATCTTGAAAAAAAATATGAGTGACCATGACCCAGGAGCACAGATTCAATTTATTCCAATTACCATGTTCCAAGGGTAAGATTTTCATGAAATTTTTATAGTAACAGAACAAAAGAAGTTATGAATCAAGGCATTTTTTTTCAAGGACATTGATAGAAGCATCAGGTTATAGCAAAGTGAGGAAATCTTTGCTGTTGGTCTTAGATGCTATCTGATGATATTCTTAGCTTTTGAGTTAGTGAGAGCTAAGGGATCTGCTTATATATTCTGACAGAATTTTCTCAAGTTGCAAGGTTGTCACACATAGAGGTGGGCAGTGAATGGCCACCCAGGGGCTAAGATACCCCATGATAATTCAGCACAGAACCTGCAACAAGCTTTCCAACCTTCCTACAGTTCTGAAGTTCTAATCAGTCAGACTCTAGTTTTTCAGGAACTTCTGGAACTCAGGAGACCAACAGCTGGTCCAGGTGCAGGAGAATCACTCATAATAATGCCAGCCCCCAGCGCAAGCTTTTAGGGAAAATTATAGTCAACGCACATGCAGGAGTTTAAGCAAGCAATTGAAGCCTCTGCTTCAGTTCCTACCTCCATGTTCCTGCCCTGGTTTCTCCCAATGATAGTCTGTAACCTGTAAGCTGATATAAACTGTTTCCTCCTTAAGTTGCTTTTGGTCAGTATTTTATCACAGTAACATAAAAGCAAATTGTTAGATAAAAAGGTAGCAGGGGTCAGGATTGCATCGAAACAGAGGGTTTGGCGAGACTGGTCTTCACCTTGGGTGTGAGGAAGAACCAGCAGCCTAATGGCTGCAGAGGGGTAGCTTATAAAGGGACAGAATGTGGAAAAAGAAAATATTTTTCTGCTGTTTGGGACTGTTTTGGGGGCTGCTTGCTCAGGGCGAGTGTGGGGTCTGTACCTGGTGAAACTTATTGAGAAAACATCTACTGCAAAACATGTTTTCTAGGCTGGGTGTGGTGGCGCACACATCTAATCCCAGCACTTGGGAGGCAGAGGCAGGCAGATCTCTGTGAGTTCAAGGCCAGCCTGGTCTATATGGTGAGTTCCAGGACAGCTGGGGCTACAGGGAGACCCTGTCTCAAAAGGACCCCCCCAAAAAAACCCCAAAAAACAAAACAAAAAAACATGTTTCTACAAACCCTGAGTTCCAAGAACTAATTGCAGCTAAGGGCTTGGGACATCTGTTTGTCAGCCTGTGGCGTGTGCTCTGGTGATCACAATACATTGGTCATTAATTTCTCAGAGCTGCTTTTGTTAACTTGCAGGTAGCTGGGAGTTGGTTGACTCAGTTCCTCTTAGGGGCCTTATGGTTTCTGGGTCTGGTGTCGCCTGGATCTGAGCCCTATCATTCCAGCCTTCTATGTTATAGGATTGGGAATCGCGTTTTTCATCTGGCTACTTCCTGCTGGGTAAGGTCAACAACAAAAAGGGGGAGGGTGTTTGATGAGGCTGGATCTGGAAGGGCTCCTCTCAGGCTGCCGTTTTCTGGTATCGGTTGGTGTTAGAGCATTCCCCATCCATTATGTTTGGCAGTTTTTTTTTATATCCAGCTAGGGGAAAAGTAAGCAAAAGTTGGTTAAAACTGGTATGTAGTCATGGGGGTGGGGGGAGGATTGTTGGAGTGGAAAATTGCTTTGGCAGATTGCTCAGGAGGAAAGGCCTGCACACATAAGCTCAAAGGGCTGCCATGTCCCCCATAGTGGGAAAAGCCTCTTTTCCTCCTGAGAAGGTATGAACCAAGACTAGTAGTTACCTGAACTTTTTGCAGGCTGGCATATGGGTAAAGTCTAGTTGCCAGTCAACCCCGGGGAGAGCTCCTCTATGTTGGTAGGGTTTAAAGGAGGGAGGTGGATGGCCCCCAACCTGAGAGGAAACAGTGGCACAGATGGGGCAGGAGCAGGTGACTTCTGTGAGAAGGGGAAGGAGTTTAGAGTGAAAATTGAGGAGTTCAAGTAATTTATAAAGTGGGTGAGCTCCAATATGAAAGATGTTATGTAGGTAAGTCAGGATGATGAGAACTGGTCTTCTGGTAGGTAATAGCTATCCCCAAGAATCATCCATCCTCCTGAGGTTGAGGTGGTCCTTTTATCTAAAAGAGATTTATGCTGTTGAGGGTTGTAGGAAGGCACGAACCCCAATGGTGCTAAGAAAGACAAGTTAGCAGCATGATATTGGCATTTTCTGGCCCCCCTAGCTGCTTGGTCAGCCAGGTCATTGCTTCTGGCAATAGGATCAGTGAGAGGTTGGTGCCCCCTACAATGTACTACAGCTCCCTTGGCAGGAAGATAAGATGCCTTCAATAATTTAAGGATTAATGGACCATTAATAATGGGGGTCCCCTTTGTCATAAGTAGGCCTCTTTCTTTCCAGATAGAAGAATGATGATGAAGTATATGGAAGGCATATTTAGAATCTGTGAAGATATTGGTTTTTTAATTTTTGGCCAATGTTAAGGCTCTGGTGAGTGCTTTGAGTTTTGCCTTCTGTGAGGTGGTGCCAGGAGGTAAAGGTCCGGACTCAGTAAAGCCTGTGAGGGAGCCGATAGCATATCCTGTTCTGTGGGATCCAGTAGGGGTCAAGGTTGAGCTGCCATCTACAATCCAGGTTAGATCTAAATTAGGTAGGGGCTTGAGAGAAACCAAGGGGTCCTGATAGGTGAGTTCCTGGAGGGTCTCCAGATACAAATGAGTGAGTGGTGTGGCAGAAGGGAGGAGTGAGGCAGGGTTACAGGGAGGGCAGGAATCTAAAATAAGGGATTTTTCAAGGTGACATGAAAAAGTTGAAGCTTAGATGGAGCAAGAGTGCTGAGAGGAGTGGGTGAGGAGGTCCTTAAGACGGGGGGGGGAGAGAAATAGGCTGAACCAGGATGAGTTTAAGAGCTTCCTGAGCTAGGAAGGCTGCAGGTGCCAGGGCATGAAGACAAGGCTGCTATCCCTTGATGGTGTGTCTAGTTGTTTTGAGAGGCCATGGGGGCAAAAATGGGTCCCTTCATTTGTCCAAGGACCCACAGAGCCAGTCCCTTATTTTCAGTTACATATAAGAGAAATGGGGATCCTAGGTCAGGGAGAGCTAAAGCTGGTGCCTCTAGGAGGGCCTTCCTGATGGCATGGAAACTACTGTGATTGGTCCCAGGGCATCTACAGGTTCAGAAGTGTCCCCTTTGTTTTAGGGAAATGGGGTTTTCCATCTACTCCATCCCAGAGATTTGTGAGGGAAAAACCTTACCAGAGTAGGAGGAACAGACAGACCATGAAATAGACTTACCAGCTACCGTAGTCACTACCCTGAGCTCCTCCATAGTGATGGTTATGGTTGGGATGGGGGCTGAGGAACCAGGGCCCCATCAGTCTTCAACCGACAGGCCCAAAAGATCAGTGATGGGCTCCTGCAAAATGGATGGGGTCGGGGAGGAGACTGGCCTACCTTGATGTGGCAAAGAAGGACAATCGATCCTCCAATGACCTCTCTGTCCACATTGAGGACAGGGTCCTGGAGGTGGCCATGGGTTAGGACATTGTTTGGCTCAGTGTCCAGTCTGTCCACATCTAAAGCAGGGTCCTGGTGGCTGACGCTATGTCACAGTGGAGCTGGAGACTGTCTTCTTGGAGGAGCCCTTAGAGCTGTGGCCAGCAGCTAGTATTTTT